AGAGCCGCTGATTCTAATTACGTTACAGAGAAGATGGATGAGTTCAAACGTGCGCTTGCTTTAGTGTGGGTGGCATATGTATGTGCACGCTTGTATGTAACTGTGCACGTGGCCAGTGCACCATGTTCCCTCATGAACCCTGTGACTCAAGCAGACATAAATGCTATTGATTGTAACTAGGCTGTGATGTGTGGGATATAAAAAGCTTTTCAACCGTTCCACGGTGTAGCAGAGCAAAAACAGAGAAGGCAAAAGGTTGGGGGATAGAAGTGGGGGGGGGAGACAGCAAGATAAAGAGGCAGAGTGGGTGTGTGAGTGTGTCCGGTAAGGGAGGAGAAGGAGGAGCGCAGAGGAGGAGGTAACGGTCTGTACTTTGGACAGATGAGGTAGTTCAATGATGAAATATTTTAAAGTCATTGATTGTTATCTTCATAATGTCCCTAAAAATGTGTGCAAGCACATAGATACTAAGACATGCATGCAAAAAAATGAAGAAAAAATGAAAAAATGCATTCACGTAAATGTCACTGGCTCTGTTAGCTGAGCTCCTTTCCATCTGATGGGATTAGGTGTAATCTGTTCTAATCGTGCCTTGTGTCATGCGTAAATGGGATTATATCTAACTGCTGCTCAATATTACCAATATGACTGCTGCTGCTGCTGCTGCTGGGAGGCTGAGGCTGTACAGCAGCACAACCAATCAATGAGAAATCCATCCACAACATAAACCGTGCTGGTGGCCTCCGGCTGCTCCTGACAGGAGTCCTTAGGCTGGCACAATAGGAGTGCAGAGGTATCACCTCAGTCTTTCAACAGTGTCAGTAATCACAAACGGGGGCGCAAGGTGACTTCTTTTACTTTGTCTTTCTTTACTTTCTTCCCTGTCTTTTTCATTTTTCATTCCCTTTTTTTTCAAGCAATATATCCAGACTAACCTGGATAAATAAAGGCTAAATGAAAAAAAAAAAAAAATATATATATATATATATATATATACACTGTAGAGTACATCTGTATTAACTAAAGTAAATGTCAATAAGGTGATTCATCAATAATTCAACTTGCCCTTTTCCCGAAATCTTTTATTCTCTTCCCTTTTTTTGCAGTTCTCTTTCTTGGCTTTATCCGCTCTCCATTCTAGGAAAAGAGCTACTTCTGGTGCTTTCAGATCAATGAATATTCAGCTCTGGCATGTGAGTCCCTTTTCACATCCCATCTTTTATACACATGCTGCCCCTCCCTTTAACCCTCTATGTCTGAATTATACATTACTTATCCTAATACATTTACATTAATTAAAACTCCATTTCCAGCTGACTAGGTGTTTTACAGTCCAACCGTGTTCTTGAGCGTTCTCTACATGTAGAGGAGGCTGTTAGCAGGACAGAGACAGGAGACAGTTGACGTACATTACTCATGTTTTAATCAAACACAAGCACTTACTCCATGAGATGAAACTCGTGTGAGTCACTGACTGACAGAGGAATATTGTGTTTGTACCATGTTGCTTGAAAGTTTGTGAAATCTAAGATTTTACTTTTATTTTAAATTATACTTGGTCATTTACTGAGGGTAATGATATCATGTCTTTGTGATAAAAAAAAGCATGTGCCCTTGCTTTCTGTGTATGACATGAGCTCCCTTTAAAACTGTCTTCTATGGCAGCATGAAAGAGTTTTAGTCTTCTCTGCACAGAACATCTTTATCTTTAGGATATTTTATTCTCAAGAACTACTCCCTTCACATTTTTCTATTAGATAACAATCAGAATTTTGATTCCACCAGAGTAAAATATGAACTAATTCAATAACCATTCTTTACATTTTCTTGCTGTCTGATTCACTTTTTTAGAAATTACACATCAGATAGATGTTCTAGCATTTATTTTATTTCATTATATTTCATAATTGTTTCATCAATGATGCATGGTGTATTGACCCAAAGCAATAAAGCTGCCTCATACCATGATGCCACCCTTGCCATGTTCAGTGGTTGAAATAAGCTCGCAATATAGGAAAGCAGTGTTTTCTTTACACCAAGCATAAAGTTTTTTATTCAGAAAGTTCTGTTTGGGTCTCATCTGTCCTTAAAACAATTCTACAGTCCTGTCCATGGGATTTTTAGCAAACTGCAGATAAGCAGAAGTGTTCTTTTGGAAAACAGTGGCTCTCTCTCCTTGCAGTGTTGCCAATTTTGTTTGTGTAGTTTCCTCCTGACGATGGACTAATGAGCCATAAGCTAATGTAAGAACATCCCCTTATTACTTAGAAGTTACCCTGGAGTTCTTTGTGTCCTCACAAAGCATTACAGACTTTTTGTCTTACTGAACAACAACACCTTAAAAGTGTAACAATGGTCTTAAATGCACTGTCTGTCAGACTGTGGATGAGTGGAGTCAAGTTTAAGACCATTTCCAAACTGACACATATGCATTCCCCCCCCCCCCCAAAACAAACAAATGTTTTCAAAACATGTTATAATTTTCAATATTTGATTCTTAAAATTTGTATAAACATAACAGGACATCTTCCCACACACCATGTCAAGGGGCAACTTCAAACTGGTGTTTTGCTAAACCAAGTCGCAGCATTATTAGAGTGAACTCCAAAGAACACCAGTAGGGTCAGCTTGGGTGTGCTGTTTTTTCCAGAGTGACCAACGCAACCACACCGGCTGACCTATAACAAATACTGGTTGAGAATAGGATGCCATTACACAGTTGTGTGTGGCCAAGCTCATGAGCAGCACATGGAGGACTGTTGTGGCTGTGTATGGTTCTTCCACATTAGGCCCATGTTAGTTGAATCCATCCATTATCTATTTCCACTTCTTCCTTTTCAGATCATGGGGGTCACTGGTGCCCATGTTCAGCTATCACTATGCGAGAGGCAGGGGACACCCTGGACAGGTCTCCAGTCTATCACAGAGACACATATAGAGACAAACAACCATTCTCTCTCACTCACACCTAGGGACAATTTAAAGTTACCAATCAGCCTAACATGCATGTTTTTGGTCTGTGGGAGGAAACCGACCGGAGTACCCGGAGAAAACCCACGCATGCACGGAGAGAACATTTAAACTCCATCCAGAAAGGCCCCCAGCCGGGATTTGAACCGGGGCAACCTGCTCGCTGAGAGGCAGCATGTCTACCAACTGCGCCACGGTGGTGCCCTATGTTGAATGAATGAATTGCTAAATTGCCAATACATCTTGTTTCTTTAGACTTCAATCTTCCAGTTAAATAAACAACATTGAACAAGAATTAATAGTAGAATAAGCTGTTTGGCCTTGGCAAAGAAAACTTGGCAAGATTTTCATGGGCACAACCCACAGATTCAACTTTGCTGCTCAACCTACAAATGCATTTTCTTAACAAATGTGGCACCATTTGAAGTGAAATAAACACTTTCCAACAGCATAAGACAAATTGCCAAGAGATATTAATACAACAAATAAATAATAAACCAAACACAAATGTCCTTACTGTTTGTGCTAAATGCATTTTATCTTAGCTTGTGTTTGAGTTCTGGTTTTATGTTCTCAGAAAGTTTGTTTTTGATATTGAACACATAAGGTTTGAAAACTATTAAACACATATTCAAAAAGCGTTCAATACAAAAACAACTGGACTTTATTTGTAACAGAAGACGTTTCGCTCCTCATCCGAGGAGCTTTCTCAATTCAAAGAGCAGAGAGTGAGAGATACAGGTTATAAGGCTGAGTGAGATAAGACACACATTAAACACATATGCACACATAGAAGTCATGGTCTGCTCTCTCCTCACCTGGTTTTTGGCGATGTTGTCAGCCACTCATCATGTTTTTCAAATGTGATGAGATATGCAGCAATCTCCTAGACAGACAAAGAACAAAATCAGGTTTTATTTGTGTGTGGGTATGTGTGTACATCACAGATAGCAAGGGTGTGTGTCACTGGGAGATAAAACACAAGTATTAGATGACTTGCTGATGCCCATAGAGAGTGTGTCACTATCTGATTGCCAAGGTGAGGTTGAGGCACCTGATTGGTTACAAAGTAGCCAGTCAGGAGACAGACACAGAGGACAGACCCTCAGGGCGAACAACCAATCACTCACCAACACATGGATGTCTCCATCCACTGGGAATGAAAACCTATCTACTGAATACACACTTGTCCTGCGTAAACACACATGAACGCACACACACAAACTGATAGGAAAAGTTTTCTTGTACTCTGCAGTTTCCCATCAGATAAAACCTGCTCCTAACTTGATTCTTAGATCCTCCCGCTCTCATCTCCCCAGCTCTCCTCACCACGCTTCTCTTCTTCTTGCACACTCAAATGAATCCAATAAAGAAAAAAAGGCTCAAATCATACAGGTGCAATTTTACCAAGAACAAGAAAAAAAAACCATCCAAACATTTGTACACACAAAAACTCTTAAAAGAACTGCATTTGCTTTTACCTCATGCTTTAGTCGCTCATGCAACTCCACCTGTTCTCCTTACTCAGTGAACTTTCTCACCTCTGTTTCCTTCTTCAAACATCACTCCCTATCTCTGACTCCCATCTTACCCACTTGTTGTGAAAGACTATGAAATGTAAATTATCCTCTTAAGGCAATCAGCTTTTGAAATGTGGCACAAAGCAACAGCGAGGACGACATCAACACTCCAGCAGTCCTTCATCTGCCCCCTCTCTAGACTGCCTTCCTTTGTTATCCTTCTGTGTGTGTGTGTGTTTGTCCCAGTTTGGCATGAGAGCACTCCAGCTCGACATTGATATGACAAAAGATTTGAGCTGGGGGGTGAGAGAGGAAAATACAGAGCAGCTGGAGGGTGCTGGCACTTAACAGGATTGTTATTTATTTATTATTTTAGTACCCTCTGTTTGATTTTCACCTCCAAACCCCCTACTGTCTCATTTTGAATTTATAGACGTGTTTATATATGTGTGTGTGGGCGTGCTTTGAAAATAATGATCAAAATCAAGTTGGCCACGATTAACGTCTGACTGTCTGAGGCACAAAAAGCTGCTCAGATTCCTCCACACGGGCACATTTTTAGACATAGCTTGGCACCATAACACACACGCACAAGCACACAAGGAGTGCCTTATTCATTTATGCATCTATTCATTAGCTGTGACAGGCAGCCACCTCTCCTCCTCCCAAACCACTCCGCAGCAAGTCAATATCCTATACGGCCTCCACAGCTCCGGCCAGGCACCCGGGTTCCCCTAGTGACTGTCAGCCGGAGGGAGGCGGGAGGAGAGAGGAGAAGAGAGGAGACGAGGGAGCGAGAGAGACAGAAGAACAGGAGGATTAAGACGGAGCGAGAAAGAGAGAGAGACTTACAATTAAAGGCCTGCCCCATAAGAGCCATTAAAAAGCCAGAAACAGAGGAGTCAGCTGAAAAGGCAGCCTGACACACAGTCTAAAACACACCCACACACACACACAAAGCAATGTTTCACACACACTACTGCTCTCTCCCCCAGCAGCATGCGTGCACGCACACACACAAACACGCACACATGTGAAGACTGACAGAAGTGAGCTGGTGAAGGTCGATCCTCAGGAAGTCACAGTCGGTGTCCCAGTGGTAAGAAGTGATGGAGCACTGTGAGCAAGCCTGGCGACACACTGACCCTTCAGGAATACTCTGACTGAGAGTGTGTGTGTTTGTGCATATGTGTGTGTGTGTGTGTGTGCGGTGTCAGACACATGGGCAGGGAAAAACCATCTTCCTCCAGGGATCTTCTCAAGAAATCCAGACTTTTTGCATGTCTGTGTGAGTCTATGTAATAATACATTAAAACAGGCCCAACTGAACGCAGGCACACACTTTCTCCAACACATACCTATTTCTGTGTGTGTGTGTGTGCGCGCGCGTGCTCTCGCGACCGAGAGTTACTTAAGAAATATCTAACAAAGCAGAGAGCATGAGTGGGAAGTTAGATTGGAGCGAGCACTGCAGTTGGGGAAATCAGCCTCCCACTCACGCATCACTGAGACCATCTTCCTCTGAGAAACTGGTGGCATGTACAGAAAAGCAGATAGACACACACGTACACATACAAACACATTCTCAGGCCTCAGGGAGATTTCCTTTGACGGGGAGGGTCTTTTGGAAGCAGGGGGGGTGTTGCCTCCACTGCAACAGACTAATCCAGGAGCTTTTCCCAGGGAGACTCCATTCTTCAGGTGTGGCCACAGGCTTTATATATATATATATATATATATATATATATATATATATATGTGTGTCTGTGTGAGTGTGTGTGTGTGTGTGTGTGTGTGTGTGTGTTTGTGTGTGAGTGTACACGTTTGAAGTCTAATGATGAGCATCACCCGGACAGAGATCTGGGGAGAACAGAGCTGTCTTCAAACTGGAACTGTCACATCCATTCGAAGTGCCTCCAATGAAAGCTGCCTCTGGCTCACAACAAAAACCATTTGGCGTTGAACAGTTTATTTTGGCAGAACAGGAGGTAACAAACTCGTGTCCTTTTCAACTACACAGTCCATAGCTGCCTCTCTTTGAGCATGGCAGGTCTTGTATACGCACATGTGCATGTGTGTATACATGTGAGTAAGTGAATGTGGGGGAAAGAACTGCATTAGCATCAGGACCAGGGGAGGTCTGCTGATGCTGTAATTTGCTCCTATAAGCACCTTCATTGGTTCTCTCCTTCCCAGAACAACCCTGTAGGTGTCTGATGTTGAGGGCCTCTCTGTCTGAAACTGCCACTGCTTCTCACTTTATTATTATTATTATTATTATTCAGGTTGCTCTGTGGTTTTTATGCTGATCCAATCACCTTTATGAAGCATTCACTTGACATTTTCTCATCTACTTTTGTGCACTTCCCTTTCAGAGACCCCTTAAGTAAATCAGACAGCGGCTGTTTCATGCTGATACCACACTTTGTCGAAGTTGTTGATGTTTTTGTACTTTGTCCTGACTGACCTCTAAGATCATTGATATGATGAAACACTACTTGGTTCTTTCAACCTTCCAAACTAAACATTATGTTGTGAAAAACCAGGTTTTAGAATAAACTGTTCTTGTTATAGTTTGGGTCTTTTTGTAGTTTTTATTTATCTTTGTTTGAATTTCTTGTGTGTATGTGTTTTGGCTGCTCACTTGAGTTATATTCTGTTCTTGTGGTCATGCCACCAGATGTCCAACAAAGTCATTATTTTTTAGTTTCTCTTATACCACCAGCATTTTGTTAGTAATCAGCACACCTGTTGCCACTAAGTAATCATCCTCCCCAGTACAAACTGGTTTTCCTCTCTTTTTTTGTCAGATCTCCTGCTATCCTCTTTGTATCCTGCCAGTTAACCACTTTACTTTGTTCCTGTTACTCTGCCTCAGATTTGAGTCATTGAAGTCTTGCTTCTCTGAGAGTTTGTCTGCAATGAGGTCCTGCTACAACCACGCAGCATAGATTGTGACAGCTCTACTATAAAGGAAGAGTAAAATAAATTAAGTTGTTTTTTGTGGAAAGATTATGAACAATTAATATTGTACTTGTGTGTGTGTGTGTAGCTATTTGAATGACTTCATGTAAAGAAACTGTTTGATTTTGACCATTTCCACTAGTCTGAGTGGGGAATTACTGCTGCATTAAAATAATTCCAGTCTTGATAGTTTCATGACCATTCATGCTGATGTTATTTCATAAACTGTTACATAACCATCTATTTCATTTTACAAGGTTACTTACATAGACTTCTGTAGTTAGTTACAAGCACAACTAGCAGCAACATCTGCAGCGTTTCCTGTGCAGCTTGGTTAATATCATGGAGGAATATCTCCTAGTTCTGCTGGAATAACTGTGTTATGTGAAACTGACTATAATAAAACATTATAGTTTATTGTTTGTATGAACTACAAAATTTTACAGTGGCAGCTTTCCACTTTGGACTACCCCCCCTTTTTTTAGTGTAGATGTTAGCTTGTAAAACTGATGAGAATTTAGCTATCCAAAATTATGTTGTTTAAAGTGTTATCTACAACAGGAAAGATATTAATTGTTCATAATAATTTTACAACCCAAAAGATCTGATCTATATATTTGAGCTAAAATAAACAATACAAACCGGAGCCAACAATGACTTGTTTACGTTGTGTTTCTCAAACCGAACTAATTAAAAGTTGACCGATGATAAACATTGATGGGATCGTTTAGCTCTTTTTAAGCCATTTAATTAAATTTCAACCAGTCTATTGTAATCCATAAGAAATAATGTGTGGTTTGTATTATATTCCCAAACAACCTCACTCCCTACTGTGTGTTACTTTCAAGGGCCCTTACATTTCCTCCGCTGGCTAACACAACTGCTTAATGCTGTTTCCATAACAACTGTTGCAAAGCCCCTGATCAGAATTCCTCTCAAGCTTGCCTTGTGTTTATCATATAAACACTTCATCACAAACACTAAGCGACATACATGCACGCAAACATGGCCATAAAAGACTTCTGCACACACACACACGCATACAAATTGGCGGCTGATACACAAAGTGTCTTATGGGAAGAAAGAAAAATAAATAAAAACATCACTTGTCCAGGCTCTGTTTGTCTCTCCTCTTGTTCTCTTGGAGACACTGCACGGACAAACACAGTGCTGCTCAATCACACAGACACACTCTTTAAATGTTGTGTATCAGTGGAGGGGAAGGTCTGACCTTCAATGGGGACCAGCTACTATCACCTAGTTAAGAAAGAGACATCGCATTTATCTCTGTCACACTGCGTTCATACACACACGCCGTACAAAAACACCCTTCATGCCAAAATTAAAACAAAATGCACAGATGTGACATATTTTTTTTCCCAACAGACAATAAAAAGTAAAA